AATTACTTTTGGCCGGATGCGGTGCGGCATGCTTGTGTGGCCAAGAAAAAAGCCTTGACTCATGTGGGAGAAAACAAATGGGTGCCCTATGTGGAGTGGATTGGAAGGAAGGTGAAGGTGGATACGCTTCGGGTGTTTGGCTGCATGTGCATGGCCCTTGTACCTAAGAAACTTTGGCACAACAAGCTTGATGCCAAGGCAACATGGGCCGTGCACCTGGGCATGGATCAAAACAGCAAGGGATGGCTTCTTTGGGACCCATTTACCAAGAAGTTCTTGGTGAGCAGAGATTGCAAAATCATGGAGAACCATACAAGAAGTGGAAGGCGGAGAACCAAGCAAAGATTGGCGTGCGACTTGGTGAGGTGAAGAGTACCGGCTTGGAGAATATGGAGCTGCCCTTGGAGCTGAGTAGCAGCAGCACAATCACAAGGCAATCTCCTCAAATATTTGAGGGAGGAGAAGGGAAGGAGGTGCAGCAAGGTGATGAGCGTGCACCGTCACTTCCGCCTTGTGCTACAAGTGCTCGCCGGAACTGACCAGATTTGCAGCAATGCCATGAGAGCATGCAATTCCCTGCAACAGAGGAGGAAGGAAGGGGGAGAAGGAAGACGTAGCCCCCAAACAGATTGAGCTATGACCGGCTTGGAAGACCAGCCAACTCAACCTTGACTGGTTCGGCTCTCATGCTAGCCGATGATGCGGAAGATGAAAGCGAGGAGTGCGCTTTTGCCTTCTTCTCTCCGGTGGAGATGCCGGGGGAGCCTACGAATCCCAAGGAGGCGTGGGAGGGCCCCAATGGGAAGGAGTGGAAAAAGGCCTCAGATGAAAAAATGGGGAGCATCATAGAGAACAACACATTTGACTTAGTGAACCAACCTCTGGGGCGGAAGGCGATGTCTTCCAAGTGGCTCTTCAAGCGCAAGACCGGCGCCGATGGCAACATTGAGCGCTACAAGAGCAGACTTGTAGCCAAGGGGTACCAGCAGCACGAGAAGAAGGACTACAATAAAGTATATGCTCCAGTGGTAAAGGGTACAACCCTTCGAACTCTCTTCGTCGCGGCGGCCATCAAAGGATGGGTGATGAAGCAAATGGATGTAGTAACGGCCTTCTTCAACAAAGTTTTGGAGGAAGAGACTTTCATAGAGCAGCCAGAGGGGTACAATGATGGGAGTGGCAGAGTGTGGAAGCTGAATAAAGCACTCCATGGCCTTAAGCAAGCCCCTAGACAATGGTACATTTTGCTGCGGGAAGTCTTGGAGGCGATCGGCGTCACTCCCTCAACGGCCGATCAATCCTTGTTCATGCTTGGCGAGGGGGGGCAGAGGAAAGCGTTGATGAAGAGGAGAGGCGCCATTCTTGCTCCTTGGTGGGCAGCCTCATGTATGCGGCCGTTCACACAAGGCCAGATGCAGCCTTTGCTACCGGACAGCTGGCTAGGGTTGTCTAATGCCCTAATGAAGAGCAGGTAGCAGCTGGAGAGAGAGTGGCCAAGTACCTTGGCCAAACAGCAACTGTTGGACTGCAATACTCTGTGGCGGCACAAAGGCGTCAAAAGGGTGTGGATGGAGTCAAACCCGGGAGGCTTGTTCTCATCGCCTTCTCTGATGCATCTTGAGCATCAGAACCTGAGGATATGACAACTGTGGGAGGCTTCATCTGCTATGTTGGTGGAGGACCAACAGCTTGGGAGAGCAAGAAACAAGTGGACCAAGCATTAAGCTCAGTGAAGTCCGAGTACATGGCACTCTTCCATGCTATAAGGGAGGTTGTGTGGCAGCGGCGTTTGCTATATGAATTGGGGGAGGAGCAGCAAGGACCTACCCCACTCTATTGTGATAGCCAAGGTGCTATTGCATTGGCTAAGGACCCCGTTCTTCATGGCCTTACCAAGCACATGAAGGTGACATAGTATTGGGTGAGGAGCATGGTAACCGCGGGTGAAGTGGAGTTGCACTACGTGAAGACGATGGCGCAGCCAGCTGATATGATGACCAAGAGGCTGGTTGAGCAGCAGCATTGGAAGTGTTGCAAGCTTGTTGGGATGGCTCTGAACTAAGGGGAGAAGATTCTAAGGCCAACAATCCGAGGGGGAGTTTGTTGGTGCAACCCTATGGCTTGCACTCGGCTTGTCGTCCTTGTTCGTGTGTGTGCATGCATGGCATGGAATGACTTGTGAGTCTATGTAATTTCTTTCTATTGCTTGTATGTGTTCTTGAAATTTGTATCACAATGTGGTTTGTGTTGGTCAAGACTTTAGCAAGTTTTCACTACTCGCTTGTCAAGTCGTCGTTTGCGCGTCGCATGTGTTTTTCTATTTTGTCGAGTGTGAAGTGTCCATCACGTCGCAGGTGTGTGCAGCAAGCCCCCATCAACTCAAGAAGAATTTATCTTGCAGAACCAAGACCAAGAGCTCAAGATTTCAAGCCCAAGGGACATGGATAAAGATTTAAAGTGAAAATACTAATGCTACTTCATGTAGTGTTACATTTCATTTTGTGTAGCCCCTTGTTGGGTTTGTTTCGAGTCTCCTCATGTGGGGACTCTGTGGTGGTGTAATACCAACCAGGACCTCGGCTCTTGGGGTTTGTAGAGGCTGGGAACCATCTCAATCTCGATTCTTCTTGCTAAGTTTGTAATTCTAAGACTATCGTGGCTGCTATACCTCCTGCTAGTCAAACTGCCATAACGTCGTCAAAACTTCATGGAATTTCCTGATTCAACTTGCTGCTGATAGGGGACAGCAACGCTCTTTAGATCCAACTTACAGATCACCGTTTGAGTTACAGATCAGATCGGTATCAATATTTGAAGCGGTCTGACGGAAATCCTACTGTGCACTCTATCTCACATTTTTGGCACATCTGAGCCTATTATGACTTTAACTGTGGTCGGGTCCGGGTGGAGTGGCGTAAGGGTGCTGATTGGTCGTTCAAAATCCCTGCTAGTTGTACTGGAGGGCTGTGTGTGCGAGGGCACTCGTTGGCCCTTCAAAATTTGCCACATGCGTAATGGCGATGATTCTCCTCCCGCCCCTGCAATTGTGATTCGCACCCCTCCCCAAAAATGTCCGCCCCATCCCACACCGCCTCATTTATGAACCATTGCTTCTAGTACCAAAGAAGCCCAGGTCCGTGAAGTTACAAAGGCCGCAAGGGCAGGGAGGGGGGTTGGTGTCTGGGGGCAATTAGAAAAGACTTGATTGGCTCGTCTGAAATTTTAGAACTCGTATTTCACTTCGTTCGGGAAATCAGAAATCGAAATGCCGCTCCTCTAATGTTCAAACAGGCCCAGACTTACTATACCAAGTCTGTTTGAAAAGCAAAAAAAAATTGCACTACTTGGTTTATTCACCCATTTTACAAGGGGGAAGTCTGCGGGTTCAGCCAAAACCTGTAGCCTAAGGATAATCGATCAGCGTGCCCCTAAACCATTTTAGGGGCCTGCAACGGACCCATCTCTAGGGGCTGAAGGTACAGCGGCAACAGCAGCTCTTGCATAACTGGATTTATCAAGGCTGATAGAAGGTATAGGATGCATTGGAGCTGCTTGTTGTTGCTGATTAGACTGATTAGCCATTACAGAAGTGAAGTCAGATAGATCCTCAGTAGATTGACCAGAAGAAGGAGACTTTGTAGATGGATTTCCTGTCTTATTATTTGACATAATGGTAGATCACTAACTTAAGCTAATGGCCTAATTGAGACCAACTTGTAACGGGTTCCTGTAACTCTATTTGCTCAGAATACCATGTTGGAGTAAACCACGTGTTTAGGGTGGTCAGGATCTAGATTTGGTGGAACCAAGAGTAAAAGTCAGCGGAAGCCTTTACACCTTGCGAAGGAAATCTCCGAAATAACAAGGATAATAATAATGAAAGTACCTAGGAAGAACCTATTCGGGATGTATCTGCTCGTAGTGTATCGCGACTATTTGCGTGACATGACTAGTGATTGTTTAGGTGATTGAGAATGGCATGACCCTTCCGCTGACTATACGTATAAACCTACAGGTCACGGGTTGACTCGATACTGCTGGCGTCATCATGCGCGTCCTTCCATATGAGGCATCGTGCTACTAGCACAATCTGAGTATTATATCACAAATGCATAAATGGTAACTCTGTCGAGTACTTCATCATAGTGCAGTATAATGACGCATTTTGATCCATTGGGAGCAGGGCCCAAAATTGGTTTTAGGCCGCTCTTAGGAATTGGAGTAGGAAAAAAAAATTACCCTGATGGCCAAAGTACAAAGTTTTCGAATTCTGATTTGACAGGGTATTTTTTTTCGAAGTCTTTGCTCTAAGTGTAAATCATTTTGCACCCTTTCCAGCCTTGGACTTTTCAGAGATTATAAAAACATTTGATAAGAATGAACTAGGCAACACTGTGGTATTATGGGGTACTTCACTGTTCAATGGGTACTTACCCTATTAGCACTGTTCATCCCATCCCAACCTTTTCTCTTCACGATCCAACTCAGATTTCCAACTGCCACAGGGCTCTCTAGTTTCGCCATGTAATCCCATTCTGTCCGACAAAACATTTTCCCACAACCGTTCTTGCATGCTATATAAACATTGCTTGTATTCGCCAATATCATCAATGATTTACCGGTTACTTCTTCGCATACTTCATCAATAGCTCCTTCGCCAAAGTCTTCTGCCGCGTTATTTCCTCGATTTAACCAACTCCGCTATTCTCTAGTGGATTTAGGCCAAGCAGCCAAGCACTTGGGATCCAGAGCTTGGTGGGCAGCGACTTCCAACGAGCGAACGTCGACGACGATACTACGCCGTCATCGCCTCAAGATGCCAACTTGCAGACTTGGAGTCGTCGAGTCGACCATGGACACTGCCATGGCAATTCAACCTTAGGACATGGGCAATGCATTTGCCACCCTCAGCAAGAACTCGATGCGCTGACGCTTGAAAATCGCCGTGTACGGGTTGAAATGCAGCAACTTCGTGAATTGGCTTCTTCTACGTAACCCTCATGGCCATGCTGCACCAACTCCTGCACCCAACACGTCAACTGCCGCGGGAGCACTGCCGGAACGCTGAACGACGCTGAAGCCACAGAAGTCGGAGCCGTTTGACTCAAGTCATCGCGACACGAACGTGTGGACGTGGATCTTCATGCTCAACAACTACTTCAACGCGAGTGCGGTGCAAGAGGCGGACGCGCAGCAGCGAATCGAATACTCCGTGACGCTGCTGAGGGGCCCGGCCTTGGAGTGGTGGTGCCAACTCATGCAAATTGCTGTATGAAGGGCTCACATAGACAGGCATCAGTAGGGCGAGGGGAATGCAGCTGCGACGTCGAGCTTAGGTAGTCTAACTTTGGGTGTTACCACGGTTCCAACCACATGGGGAAGATTTGAAGCGGCGCTGAAAGCTAAGTTCGATTTGGTGAATGCCTCCAAAGCTGCTAGGAAGTGTCTGTGTCATTTCCACCAGATAGAAAATGTCCTGGAGTACACACGATGGTTCTTGAGTATCTGCAACAAAATAGACTGCATTACTGAAGCAGAGATGCGCGACTGCTATCTCGAGGGGTTAAGATAGGGCATAGCGAAGGTCATAGCAATTCACGGATTGTCCACCTTTGAGGCAGTAGTTGCAGCAGCAGAACACGTCGACGCAGTATAAAGCCGACGGGGTCATGACGATCGAGATAGGAGTTATAACAATCCGATCAACAATACTCGCTCAAGGGACGGACCATCACCTATGGAGATTGGTGCAGTTAATAGTGATGGCTCACAGAGACCAGGATTTAGGGGGAACTGTCACTACTTCAAAAAGTCGGGACACATAAAGTGTGACTGTCCTCGGCTTAAGGAGCGGCAGCAGGGAAACGGAAACCGCGAGTAGGTAGCGGGTTGCTAGCTGGTGTGCAGGCTCTGTACCCGCCCAGTCTACCAACGTAGAGGAGATGCCCCTATAGGAGTCATCTACACCAAACGCAGTATACACTGTTGATCAGCCAGTTGTGCTTCTTGGGAATCTTCGTGGAGTTCCTATTAGGATTTTCGTAGATAGTGGTTCTAATCACTTGTTTGTCTCGTCTTCGCTAGTTAGTCGTCTCCATCTCGAAGTGGATTCTTCATGCAACTTCAAGGATGCTCGCATGGTAGATGACATGCCTCTCCGTATAGGTCCAGTTATCTGCAAGTTGCGTGTGGTGCTAGGACCGATCACAGTTAGACGCGATTTCGATTCTGCGACGCTGGACGGCTACGAATTCATCTTCGGTAGAGATTGGTTGCGGACGGTAATAACTCATTTTGATTGGGCTCAGGCATCTACAGCATCAAGGTGGATGGAAGTTCCCGGCAGCTGCCAAAGTGGAGCGATGCGGACCACATCCTCTACAACTGTCATCAATGTTGTTCATGTGCGACAGCTGGTGAAGCGCGTAGCTCGGGTATTCACAGTCTTCCTTGAGGAGGTTGGATCTGAGGAGAAAGGAGGGGGTGCAGCAGTTGGAGAAGACGAATCTTCCCGCTAAAGTGACTGCACTCTTAGCATAATTTGTAGACGACTTTCCCAACGAGTTGCCCCCAGGGTTATCTTCTAGCCGAGCAGTAGACCGTTGAATAGAGTTGGAGCGGGGAGCAGACCAGTAGCCAAGCCACAGTAGAGGCTAAGTTTAGCAGATTTAGAAGAGATGACGAAGCAGGTTAAGCATTTCCTAGCGCTGGGTTTCATTCAGCCATCTAAATCGCCCTGGGCAGCACCGATCCTATTCACACCTACTGTAAAAAAAGGATGGGGGTTAAGGATGTGCATTGATTACTATGCTTTGAACGCTGCCACCGTCAAGAATAGGTTCCCTTTGCAGAGGGTAGAGGATCTTCTAAATGTAGTGCAGGGCGCTAGAATCTTCTCCAAGTTTGATCTTCATTCAGAATATCACCAGATTCGAGTAGTTCCAGAGGATCGGGATAAGACAGCATTTCGTACGAAGCAGGGGTTGTACGAGTTTAGGGTCTTGCCATTCGGATTGACCAACACCCTAGCAATGTTCCAGATGCGCATGAATAGTGTGCTAGCAGAGTTCATCGGGTCCTTCGTTGTAGTCTACTTGAACGACATCCTAGTCTACTCTAGGACGCCAGAGGAGCACGCACAGCACCTGCAGAAAATC